TACCTTAGTAACAGAACTCAATATGTGTATGCAAATAATGCAAACTTTTCCACCCAACCAATCACAGTAGGAGTCCCACAAGGAAGCGTCCTTGGACCACTCCTCTTTCTCATCTACATCAGTGATCTACCGAATGCATCACAGCTGCTCAAACCCATATTATTTGCAGATGACACTACATATGTCTTTTTCCACCCAAACACGGTCATACTAGCAAACACGGTCAATGCCGAATTGCAGAAAATATATGCCTTGATGGTGACTAATAAACTTAACCTGAATACTGATAAAACTTATTTCATTCAGTTTGGAAACAAAGCTGCAAATGATCCGATTAACATAACGCTAAATGGATCATCAGTCACAAGACTCACAGAAGGAAAATTCCTAGGTATCCAGAATTGAGACACTTATGCAACACATGGGAATCCTTATTGAAGAAACGTTTCACCACACAGTGGCTTCATCAGTCCAATACAAAGTATAGAAATGGGTAAGGAGAGGAGAAGTTGGAGGTAATCAGTCCCTCAACCTGGAATCGATGTGTTCAGTCCATCACTCTTGTAGGAAGTGCAGCATAGGGCCAGAGAGGTGGCTTATATACTGCAGTCAGATGAGTCGAAGCAGGAGGAGGCGGGATCACAGTGGGACCTGCCACTAGTGTAAGTAGGTCGTCGTCCAAAGGTTGGGCAAGCGTTGAAGTCTTTGTACCAAGATTCCATGATGTACAAGAGTGATGGACTGAATGCATCGATTCCAAGTTGAGGGACTGATTTCCTCCAACTTCTCCTCTCCTTACCCATTTCTTTGTATTGGACTGATGAAGCCACTGTGTGGCGAAACGTTTCTTCAATAAAGATTCCCATGTACTGCATAAGTGTCTCAATTCTTCAACTTGTCAGTTTTCAAAGCCATTCATCACTCCTAGGTATCCACATTGACAGTAGCCTTAAGTTCTGGACACACATACAACAAATCACCGAGAAAATCTCCAAGACTGTAGGTATACTATCAAAGATAAGGTACTACGCTCCACAATCAGCTCTCCTGGCACTGTACCATACACTCATATACCCTTATCTTACATATAGAATTTGTGCATGGGGATCAACAACATCCATTCACCTAAAACCCCTCATAACCCAGCAAAAGGCAGCAGTAAGAACGATAACGAATTCCCACTCCCGCCAACACACTCCACCAATTTTCAAAAGTCTGAATCTGCTCACCATTAAGAACATCCATACTTATTCATGTGCCTACTACATACAGAGAACAATACACGCAAATATAAACCCTCCACTTTAGCTTCTCCTCACCAACTTAAACAGGATACATGACCACAACACAAGACACAGATCTCTTTTTGATATACCTCGTGTCCATATCACACTGTGTAAAAACTCTATGCACATAAAGGGCCCTAAAATATGGAATTTATTACCAGAAGATATTAAAGTAACCCAGTCTGAAAATCAGTTTAAGACTCTTCTCAAAAGCCACTTAATCACCCTAGACTAAATGCTAAATACTCGGTACACACATACTCACCTATGTTATTCCCACATCATAACTTCAACAATCACTTTGAACCTTTTATCCATTGTTGACAGGAAAATAATTGAACCATTGTTTTCACAAAAAGCATTTTAGACTATATGAATATATCCTTTGTCTTATACAAATTTAATTCGCTTATAATTATAATCTACTGTTGAACTATGAAATAATTACTGTCCTACTGTACAACTATGATAAAATCCTTAGTGTTAAGTAGTCTGTAAGCCAATAATGTTAAGTTGGCCCATAATGCCTAGGCATAATAGAGGCTCTCTCTGCATTGCAACCCACTATTGTAAATATAAAATCTCAGTGTACTGTTTGCAAATAAATAAATAAAACTTAAGTAGTTATTAAGTACAATGGTCCCTTGATAATCGTAGTTCTCGGGAATCGTAGATTTCGGAAATCATAGGGATATTTTCGTATAAACATGGGCTTGCTAATCGTAGGTTGACTCGCGAATAGTAGGTTGTCCAGGACACGTACACACAGTGTGAGCCAGGGCGGCCTCCCTACCCAGCCAGTGTGGCATTGTTTACCAGTGAGCAAAGGTCCCCTCACGTGCTCCTACGAAATATTTCATAATATTCCACTCATTTTAGTGCTTGCAAGTACTAAATAAGCTACCATGGCTCCAAAGAAAGCTCCTAGTGTCAAGCCTGTGGTAAAGGTGAGAAATACGATTGAATTTAAGAAAAACATCATTGAACAACATGAAAGTGGCACAAGTGCGGCCAAACTGGCCACGATGTATAAGAAACCCTACACAACCATGTGTTCCATCTTGGCCAAGAGAGGAAATCAAGGACGCTGTTGTTGCAAAGGGGGTAAATATGCTGACGAAAATGAGATCACCAGTACTCGAAGATGTTGAGAAGTTATTATTGGTGTGGATAAACGAGAAACAATTAGGAGATACTCTTATGACTTCGATTATTTGTGAAAAGGCTAGGCAGTTGCACAACGATCTGGTAAAGAAATTACCTGCAACGAGGACTGATATTTGTGAATTTAAGGCCAGCAAAGGTTGGTTTGAGAGATTTAAGAACCGTAGTGGCATACACACTGTGGTAAGGCATGGTGAGGCTGCCAGTTTGGACCACAAGGCAGCTGAAAAATATGTGCATGAATTCAAGGAGTACATAGAGGCTGAAGGACTGAAACCTGAACAAGTGTTCAATTGTGATGAAACAGGCCTCTTTTGGAAGAAGAGGCCAAAGAAGACCTTCATTACATAGGAAAAGGCAATGCCAGGACACAAGCCTATGAAAGTCAGGCTGACACTCATGTTCTGTGCTAATGCTAGTGGGGATTTCAAAGTGAAGCCATTACTAGTGTACCAATCTGAAAATCCCAGTGTGTTCAGGAAAAACAATGTTATGAAGAGTAAATTGTGCGAGTTTTGGAAATCTAATAGTAAGGCATGGGTCATGAGGGAAATTTTCGTCAAGTGGTTCAATGAAGTGTTTTGCCCTAGTGTGAAGAATTACCTCCTGGAAAAGAAATTGGATCTCAAGTGCCTGCTAGTAATGGACAATGCACCTGCTCATCCTCCAAACTTGGATGACCTAATTTTCGAGGAGTTTGGGTTCATCACAGTAAAGTTCTTGCCCCCGAATACCACTCCTCTCCTCCAGCCCATGGACCAGCAGGTCATTGCAAACTTTAAAAAATTCTACACCAAAGCAATGTTTCAAAGGTGCTTGACTGTGACCACAGACAGACACTTGACCCTAAGAGAATTTTGGAGAGAACACTTCAGCACCGTCCATTGCATAACCCTTATAGGTATGGCTTGGGAGGGAGTGACTACCAGGACTTTGCACTCTGCTTGGAGAAAATTGTGGCCAGATTGTGTCAACAAGAGGGATTTTGAAGGGTTTGGGACTGACCCTGATGAGCCTATGTCTGTTGTTAAATCAATTGTGGCACTGGGGAGTTCCATTGGGTTGGATGTGAGTTTGGAGGATGTGGAAGAGTTGGTGGAAGACCACAACGAAGAGCTCGCCACTGAGGAGCTGCAAGAACTTCAGCAGGAACATCAACAGATCGCAGCTCAGAATCTTGCTGCAGAGGAGGAGGAAGAGAGATGGAAGAAGGTGCCTTCAGGAATTAGAGAGATTTTTGCTATGTGGGAAAGATTTATGGAGAAACATCACCCTGACAAGGCTGTTGCAAGCCATGTTGGCAACATGTACAGTGACAAAGTCTTGGGCCATTTTAGGGAAGTGTTAAAGAGACGCCAGAAACAGAGCTCTCTCCACAGTTATTTTGCGAGACAGGACTCCAGTGACTCAAGCTGGTCCTAGTGGCATTAAGAAACAGAGAAGACAAGCAACCCCAGAAAAGCAATTGGTACCTGAGGTGTTGATGGAAGGGGATTCCCCTTCCAAACTGTAAACAATCCAATCTCTCTCCTCCTCCAGTCTCCCATACACTAAGAAGAATCTCCAATAAAGGTAAGAGTTATGCTGTTAATGTTTCATTCATCATTTCCCATTGTATTGTTTATGTACTACATCTATATTTCATGTAAAAATTGTTTTTGTTTTAATACTTCTGGGTGTCAGGAATGGATTAATTGTATTTACATTATTTCTTATGGGGAAAATTGATTCGAAAATTGTAGATTTCGATAATAGTAGCAACTCCAGGAACAGATTAACTACGAAAAACGAGGGACCACTGTACTTGGATAAGTCTGCTTGAAATACCCCGGCATGATAGTGGCTTTCTTTGTACTTAACAAATCAAAATTGTAAATACACATTGTAACCTTGCAAAGAAATAAATCTATCTTTATCTTTTATCTTTAACATGCCTGCTGGTGACCTTCAGGGGGATGAGAAGCAAATTCAAATTATGAGGAACTGAAAATTTACAGGAAAGGGGGACGGGAAGAGCATTTTTCAATATGGCTACCATCTCCATTCAGAGGTTTAATGTGGTTGGGGGCTAAATAAACTGTGTCAAATCTTGTATCACAATGTGCATGATTTTTCAGTCTCCGTGCTTAGAGAACAAACCAACTTGATCTCAGATGTTACCTTCAGTGCCCTGACATGCTTGCTTTGCCTTTCCATCCTTCTTGATGAGCCCACCTTTACTATAAGATTTCTCACCTGACATAGGTTTGCTACATGAACTACGACCCCAGTCCTGCTAAGAAATCCTCTCCTCCCCACCATCTTTTACCTCTGCTGTTTAGCACTGACTTGTATGGATTTAATTTTTGCCATGGCTTCAGTACAATAATAATCCTACATTCTTATTGTATTTTCAAAAAAGACAAAAAAGATTCTTAAGTTTTTTAAATATAGCATGAATAATTTTGTTAAATTTCACCTTTAATCATGTATACAGAATTCAGATTAAACTGCCATTATTTGGCTAGCTGCCATTAGTTATATGTACTTAAAGTTCATTGTGCTGCCTACCTTATTATCAAGATCTGTTCTGTGAGCTTCGGTAATACTCTCTGATTGGACGGTGTTGTAGCACTCTTGAAGGCGACTGCAAATGGAAGGGGAGCGAGAAGGTGGCTTGGAGGAGGGTCGTGATGTGGGCCGGGAGGTCGATACAGGACGTGGGGCTGGTGTGCGTTGCAGAGACGTCATGTATCTTCGACCTATGAAAGTTTTTGGTATACAATTATGGCATAAAATATGAGCCAGCTGATGAGTCATGGGGTTATTGTAATACATTGTGGCATGTATAGTGGGTAGCATGTTTGAGATTTTTGAATACATTGCTATAAATGACATGCAATACTGACTAATTATTAAACATTTTGCTTGCAGTGCAGGTTTAATCAGTCTTATAGTTTGATTCTTTTTCCACAAGGACTAAGGGACTGATAACCTCGAATGTCATCACATCTGTCTCCAGGATTGTAATTCATCTCTGTATTCAACTGCATATATTATTATATTGCCATACTGTAACAGTTGTGATGCATAATACATGTATACAGTTTATGGAATAAAAGTGCTGGCCTGCACTAAAGCAATTATTCTGTTGCCTTAGTTAATACTTACAGTGAGTAGGTGTGGTTGGTGTGGTATTGGGGGTAGAACGACCAGAAGATCTTGGTGTCCGAGCTGAAGGTAAACGTGGCTTAGCAGTGTGTGTTGGGGTAGTCACAGGAGTCGTAGGTGTTGTCTTAGCACCAGACCAGCCTCTGCATTATACAATATTACAGAAGTAATATTTTGTAAAAAAAAAAAATTAGGACTATCTTAATAATGGTAAAAAAAAAAAATTGTCTAAACCATATTTTGTGACAATTTTAACATTATCAAAACCTATTTGGCTGTACAGTGGACCCTCAGTTAACGCCTTTAATCCGTTCAAGAGAGCTAGCCTTTAACCTAATTAATTTTCCCCATAAGAAATAATGGAAATCCAATTAATCCATTCCAAAGACCCAAAAGTATTAAACAAAATAATTTTTTTTACGTGAAATATACATTTCCCTACACAGAAAAGAATGATACATGCACAATAAAACAATAATAACATCACAGTTACCCTTATTGTGGACTAGGAATTTTTATTGACCTAAGAAAAGCTTTTGACACAGTAGACCACGGCATCCTACTCCACAAACTTGACCATTATGGTATAAGAGGCCATGCGCTTGCATATTTCAAATCCTACCTTACTAATAGGTATCAGTATGTCGCCAATAAAGACACAGCATCATCAACACGGCCACTTGATACTGGAGTTCTGCAGGGAAGTGTCCTTGGTCCCCTGCTCTTCCTCATATACATCAATGATCTTCCAAACGTATCCCAACACCTGAACCCCATTCACTTTGATGACGACACGACTTATGTCATCTCTCGCCCTAATCTTGCCACCCTCAACACCATTGTTAACAAGGAGCTCCTCAAAATATCGACTTGGATGACAGCCAATAAACTTAGGCTTAACACTGACAAAACCTACTATATTATGTTTGGTAGCAGAGCAGGAGTTGGGCAAATTAACATTAAGATCAACAACACTTTAATTGCCAGAAATAATGAGGGCAAATTCCTAGGCCTATACCTCGACAACAACCTGAGTTTCAGCACCCATATAAAACACATAACCAAAAGAGTATCCAAAACGGTTGGGATCCTCTCCAAGATACGATACTACATGATGCAAAATGCCATTCTCACACTATACCACTCATTTATTTATCCTTACCTCGCCTATGCCATTTGTGCTTGGGGATCAACTTCACCAACACACCTAAAGCCAATAATAACCCAACAAAAAGCCGCAGTAAGAATAATCACTAAATCCCATCCCTGGCAACCCCCCCCCCCCCACTCTTCATAGATCTAAACTTACTCCCTGTTCAGTACATCCACACTTAATACTGTGCAATCTACATCTACAGGACCTTAAATTCCAATATTAACCTTGACCTAAAACGCTTTCTTGATAGTTGTGACAGAACCCACAGGCATAACACCAGACACAGACATCTCTATGACATTCCCCGTGTCCGACTAAACCTTTACAAAAATTCAATGTATGTCAAAGGCCCTAAAATCTGAAACTCCCTCCCTGAAAATTCTAGAACTGCAGACACATTCATCAACTTCAAAACTACCATTAGAAAACATTTTACCTCCCTGATACACCCCCTCAACTAATTACTATGTACATGAATACCACCTGGTGGTTCACACTTACACTCACTCACCCATTTGACCATAAACACACAAATATCAATCTTAATCTTAAAATAATGAATCCTAACTAGTCATAAGCTGGCCTGTGATACTCCAATACTGAAACTATGTATTGTGCAAAAACAAAAGCATTCACGTTGCTAAACTCACAAACTAGTATTTAGTCACTTAGCCATAATACCAACTTACCTCATAATTTGTAATATTTTAAAGTTAAGAATTAATCTAAATCTGCCCGAAATGCCCAGCCATGCTAGGTGGTCTATTGGCCCCCTCTGTAATTTGTATTTTAAAACATGTAAACCTCACAATATCCAAATTCTGTAAACTCAGCATTGTAATTCTTATAGAGAATAAACTTGATTGTTGATGATTGATGTGATGGTAGGAGGGCAGAGGATGCAGGTGTTCTATTGTTTGGAAGGGGAATCCCCTTCCATAAAGACTTTAGGTAACAAGTCCTTTTCTGAGGTTACCTCCTTTCTTTGTTTTTTAATGCCACTAGGACCAGCTTGAGTCACTGGACCCCTGTCATGCAAAATATCTGTCCAGAGAGCTCTGTTTCTAGTGTCCCTTTAAGATTTCCCTAAAATGGGCCACAAGTTGCCAATATGGCTTGCAACAGCTGTGTCAGGATAATATTCATCCATAAATGCTAGCAACTTTGTAAACATTGAACACATTTTCTTAATCTTTGACAAAGGCAACTTCCTCCATCTCTCTCCCTCTTCCTCTGAAGGAAATCCCTGAGCTTTGATCTGTTGCTGTTGCAGCTCTGTAATGGTTAACTCTTCATCGTCGTCCTCCACCAATGCTTCCACATCGTTGCCACTAACCTCCAACCTCATGAACTTCCCCAGTGCCACAATAGATTCCACAACTGGCATGGGCTCCTTAGGGTCAGCCCTAAACCCTTTAAAAGTCCCTCTCTTGTACACATTGTGGCCACAATTTTCTCCAAGCAGAGTTCAAAGTCCTGCAAGTCACTCCCTCCCAAGCCTTACCTATAAGGTTTATGCAACTGAGGATACTGAAGTGATCTTTCCAGAACTCTCTTAGGGTCAATTCAGTGTCTGAGGTCACTTCAAAGCACTTTTGGAACACTGCTTTGGTGTACAGTTTTCTGAAATTTGAAATGACCTGCTGGTCCATGGGCTGGAGGAGAGGAGTGGTATTAGGAAGCAAAAACTTCACTTTGATGAAGCTCAACTCCCCTGCAATTTGCTTTTGCAAGTTGTGAGGATGAGCAGGAGCATTGTCCAGGAGGCACTCGAGTTCGTTTATTTCCCAGGAGGTACTGTTTCACAGTGAGGCCAAACACAACATAGAACCAGTCAATAAACATCTCTAGTGACCCATGCCTTAATGTTTGCTCTCCACATCACACACAATTTAGTCTTGTTATTGTTTTTCTTGAAAACACTAGGAGTTTCAGAGTGATACACGAGTAAAGGCTTCACTTTGCAATCCCCACTAGCATTACTACACATCATTAGAGTTAGCCTGTCTTTCATAGGCTTGTGTCCTAGGAGTGCCTTTTCCTCCTGAGTAATGTAGGTCCTGTTTGGCATTTCCTTCCAAAACAGGCCTGTTTTGCCTGTTGGGGTTTTAATTTTACAGTGTCTGTGTACTTCTTAAAGTCCTGCACATATTTTTCAGCCACTTTTTTGTCAGAACTGGCAGCCTCGCCATGCCTTATCACACTGTGTATGCCACTACAATTCTTAAATATCTCAAACCAGCCTTTGCTGGCCTTAAATTCATCAACAGCAGCACTATTTGGAGGCATTTTCTTAATGAGAGCCTCATGCAACTGTCTTGCCTTTTCACATATTATTGACTGAGAAATATTATCTCCTGATAATTGTTTCTCGTTTATCCACACAAACAACAGTCTCTCCACATCTTCGAGTATTTGCAATCTCTGTTTTGTAAGCACACTTGCACCTTTTCCAACAACAGCTTATTTGATTGCCCTTTTGTTACGCAAGATAGCAGTGATGGTTGAATGGGGTTTGTTGTATAATTTTTCCAACTCTGAGGCATGCACTCCACTCTCATACTTTTCTATTATATCCTTTTTTAATTCGATAGTACGCCTCACCCTTATTACCACAGGGTTGGCACTAGAAGCTTTCTTTAGGCCCATGGTGGCTTATTTAGCATTTACAAGCACTAAAAACAATGAAATAATACAAAATATATTGCACGTACGATTGGAATTGTTGTCACTGGCTTTGTAAACAGCGGCACACTGGCTGGTACACGGGGTGAGTGGCCGTGCCTGGTCAGTGCGCCGTGTGGACACGTTCGGGACGAAAGCTCCTAACCAAGATTTTAGGTGTTATCCGAGCCATTTTTTTTTTTAAGCCAAAGCGAGACATTATCTGATTTTGGCGTTAGCTGATGCAGGAGTGAGCCGAGGGTCCACTTTATTATGTTGTGATCTGAGTGTATTGTCTTTGATATGGTTATATTACTTATCAGATTGTCTTTCATAGAGAAGATGAGGTTCAGTGTATTTTTAAATCTTGTTGGCACTCTTACTTGCTAATTTAAGGTGAATTTGGTGCAGAGGTTCAATAGCGTGTGTGTGTGTTGTGTGTGTTGTGTGTGTTGTGTGTGTTGTGTGTGTGTGTGTGTTGTGTGTGTTGTGTGTGTTGTGTGTGTGTGTGTGTGTGTGTGTGTGTGTGTGTGTGTGTGTGAAATTTCATTTGAGCTCTCCCCTGGGGTGATCTCTGCTAAAACATTATTTGTTAACCCTTCCAGGGTTTTCAACGTACTAGCACGGCTTATGCACCAGGGTTATTCACGTACTAGTACGCCTAAATATGATTTTTGTCGACTAGCACACAGGAATTGGCCAAAAATAGGGCTTAAGTGGGCGGAATTGCCGATGCGCAAACATCGGCAAGACCGCTAACTTCGCGAGAGCATAATTCCACAAGTTCTCCATCAGATTTCATACTTTTGATGTCATTATGATCGGGAAAAGATTCTCTCTCATTTCATAAGAATTTTTTTTTTTTTTTTTTTCCGAAAAATTTTCAACTCTGAGAACAAGTTTAGGAGAGGACCTCTCGACCCTGAAAGGGTTAAACTCCTACCAAACATCTTACTACTTGAGACACCTAAAATGGAGGGGTTGGGAGATTTTTCAGTTAGTGGTCAATTTTCAAAAGCTGTTCCTAGAATTGCTGGGAAGTTGTATCTGGAGGCAAAGTTTTGATTTCGATCTTTACTGCCAAAACTTAGTTATATCATTTGAGGTGTTTAGTAGTACTATACTGAGCAACTATGACGTACAGGCCTTCCCCCCTGTCCTTGTTGCCTGTTTAGTCTGTTGGATCTAAATAGGTTATAACCTGGGATCCATATTTTGTCAAAATGATCCTTTATGAGAGTCTCTGTGAAAGCTGCAAACATTGCATTTGACTCCGTGAGCAGTCCCTTGATGTAAGGTATTTTGTTTGTTGATGGTTCTAGACCCTGTATGTTTGCAAAGATAATTGTTATATTGATGGAATTTAGGGGGGCTTTGTTTGCTGGCATTAAATATTTTCAGTTGGTGTAAGATTTTTGTCATTTCTTGCCACCTTTTTTTTTCTACCTGGCACTAAAAAACCACCTTCTCTGGAGAGGTTTTGGGGGTGTGGGGGCAGTGACCTCCAAAACCCTCCAGGTATACACTCTTTTTATATTACTAATGCGTGTAAAGAGGATTTTTTTTTTTAAGAACCGTACTTGCCAAATATGACTAATGTTGTACTGCTAGCTCTTCACAATACACTTCCTGTTTAACCCCTCGAGTGTCAAAACCCCAAATCCTGAGGTGTATTCTGGTGTCGAAAAATTTTTGAAACAAAAATAATTAATTTTTTCTTATGAAATGAAAGAGAATCTTTTCCTGATGGTAATGACACCAAAAGAATGAAATTTGATTAAAAACTTAGGGAATTATGCTCTCGTGAAGTTAATGACCTCGGCGATATTTACAAATTGACGATTTCTCCCACTTTGAGCCCTATTTTCGGCTGATTTCATTGTTCCAGTCGACCAAACTCATAGCTATTTCTTTAGAACTCCATTTGTTCTAATGACTGAGCACAAGAAACTGCCCATTTACCGATTTCAACTACCCAATAACATGGTCAAAAATTTGCAATTTGGCCAATTTCACACAAATTAAAAAATATGCCAGTTTCAAGGATCCAGAATGAACAATTCCTGGCTCTAAAATAACATTTTCTTTGTTCATCAGTCATGTCTCCAGGCCCCTTTGATATTACTCTTTCTTTCTATTTTGAATTTTTATTCAAACAAAATATAGAAGATTTACTGTTACGCAGACTACTGCAATATTGTAATAGTTGTATAAATAATGTCGACCCTTTCATGACTGCATATTAGAATGGCTAGTTGGACATTTATTGGACAATGACATCATTTGTTTACTTTTGAACATCGGCAAAAATCAAACATTTGCCCTACTTTGAGCTCCATTTCAAGGTTCTTTTCATAGTAAAACCAATCAAAATCACCTCTATTTCTATAATATGTTTTCCATTCTATCAAATAAGACCAAGAAAACAAGAATACAACCATAAATACTATACGAAAATACACCACAAAGTCGGCATTTTAATCCAAAAAAAACGATCTTTTTTTTTTTCATTATTCACAGACCTATTTTCTCACATGTGGGCCTACCAGCTTTCTTCTGCTTGATTTGAAGCCGCTAGAATTTTTGAGTATATATACGTCAAACACTGTTGCTTGTAAGATGTACATATATGACTGAAACAGTCAAAGGGTTAAAGTACATAGTATAGTCGGCTTTCACTTAAAGTTGTTACATTAAAATACTGTACCTTAAATTCAGCCAAGCAGTTGTATTAAACTCGGTATTCTAATAATCTTGCATTGGCTATTCAGCTGTATATTTAGTGGGTTTCAGTTCCTGTTTTAGTCATCCCAAAATATTTCACTTAACCAGAAGCTTTTTCAGATGTGTTACTACAGTACTTAGAACCATTCAGTTAGAACACACACACTTTAATACACACAAAAAGTATCATGAAATATAAAATTGTTCTTGTATTTGGTGACTAACCTTGACTTGCAAGGGATGCTAGTTGGACGTCGCGTCAGGTTAGAAACAGCTCTTCTTATGGAGGCAGGCTTAGGAGGTGGAGTAGGTTTAGCAGGGCGAGGGATGTTTGACTTGGGAGTCTGTGACTGGGCAGAGGCAGGTGGAGTATCAGTCTGGGTGTGGGTGGACTGATTAGGTAAGACCAGACGAGGAACCAGAGGCAAATGTCCAGGTGCTGAGAGTGGCCTGCAATGAGACAACTTATCTTAGATAATTTGGTTAAGTATAACATGGTGGCTGCATTATGCTAACCAACATTTAAATGTATATTAAATTTCTGCCTTTGTACCTTTGAGTTTGTGCAATTTTTATTACACATACTGAACAATATTTAAGAAAAGTAAATCATATTATCATTAAAATAAGCTTCAGTCTTACTAAATCAGCCAAATGAAGCTAAGGTGCAGGAGAATTTCGGTGGGTGGTGTAAATGGGATTAGGTCGGGTGTATCTGAGAGAATTACAGCTAATGATGGAGTAGCAGTAATGTTAAATAATCAATTGTATTAAGAAATGAAGGAATGTGTGTATAAATTCAAGAATTATGTGGATTAAAATAAGGGTGGGATGTGAGAAGTGGGTAATAGCATTTAATGCACCTGGGAAAGAGAGACTGAAAGAGAGAGAGAGATTAACTGATTTTGAGAGAGGTTAGGTGAGGTTAAGAGTGGTAAGAGTGCAAAAGGAGCTCATCAAGGGGTAGAAGACATGGAGGTACTGGGAAAATGGATGGAATATTTGAATGTTGAATGATGATGAGAGTGATTTCTTGCACTGGGCAAGTAGATATAGCATCTTTTAACCCTTAAACGGTCCAAACATATATATATACGTTTTTTTCAACATTTGAAAGTATATAAAAAATGTACATAATTTTTTTTTTCTTTTTACATTTAAAAATGTGTAAAAAAATTTTTTATCTACTTTTTTTTTTTTTGTTATACAGTGGTCCCTCCCTTTTCGTAGTTCTCGGCAATCGTAAATTTCGCCAATCATAGGGGTATTTTCATATAAACATGGACTCGCTTTTCATAGGTTGACTCGCGAATAGTAGTTTGTCCGGGACGCGTAAGCACGGTGTGAGCCGGGGAGGCCTCCCTACCCAGCCTGTCTGGCATTGTTTACCAGTGAGTGAAGGTCCCCTCAAGTGCTCCTACAAAATATTTCAAAATATTCCACTCATTTTAGTGCTTGCAAGTACTAAATAAGCTACCATGGCTCGAAAGAAAGCTCCTAGTGCCAAGCCTGTGGTAAAGAAGGTGAGAAATATGTACAGTGACAAAGTCTTGGGCCATTTTAGGGAAGTGTTAAAGAGACGCCAGAAACAGAGCTCTCTCCACAGTTATTTTGCGAGACAGGACTCCAGTGACTCTCATGGTGGTCCTAGTGGCATTAAGAAACAGAGAAGAGAAGTAACCCCTGAAAAGCAATTGGTACCTGAGGTGTTGCTGGAAGGGGATTTCCCTTCCAAACTGTAAACAATCTAATCTCTCTCCTCCTCCAGTCTCCCATACACTAAGAAGAATCTCCAATAAAGGTAAGAGTTATGCTGTTAATGTTTCATTCATCATTTCCCATTGTATTGTTTATGTACTACATGTATATTTCATGTAAAAATTTTTTTGTTTTAATACTTCTGGGTGTCAGGAACGGATTAATTGTATTTACATTATTTCTTATGGGGAAAATTGATTCGCAAATCGTAAATTTCGTTTATAGTAGCTCCTCCAGGAATGGATTAATTACGAAAAACGAGGGACCACTGTATTTGAAAATATGTAAAAAGCACAGATCTACTTTTGGAGCACTATAGATTTGAACGTTGATCTATTTGGACCGTTTAAGGGTTAAGAGCGAGGAACCCGATACAGGTGTGGGGGAGGGTGGAGAATCTGGTACTCGTAGAGGGAAACTGTCCTGCTTCTTTGTAAGTCGAGTCTTGGCCATGGATGTTAACAGTATTTTCTGATTTTACTCATGGTCCCCCTGCTCTTCACTGAGATAATTGCACATCCCCTCATGGTAATGCTAAGAGTACAGTGGACCCCCGGTTAACGATATTTTTTCATTCCAGAAGTGTGTTCAGGTGCCAGTACTGACCGAATTTGTTCCCATAAGGAATATTGTGAAGTAGATTAGTCCATTTCAGACCCCCAAACATACACGTACAAACGCACTTACATAAATACACTTACATGGTCGCATTGGGAGGTGATCGTTAAGCGGGGGTCCACTGTATTTCAGTATTATGTAAATATGATACGGCATTTTATTTTCAAGATTTTTGTTTACCAAGACCATCATCTATAGACCAAAGCTGAATTGATAGTCTCTGGTTGATGAAATGAGTTCTCCATAAAATGCTGTAATCTGCATTGTTTTATTTATGCAACATCCCCTCATATTCATAATTGTGCAAGTTTCCTACAGTGTGTGTGTGTGTGTGTGTGTGTGTGTGTGTGTGTGTGTGTGTGTGTGTGTGTGTGTGTGTGTGTGCACTCATCTAGTTGTACTCACCTAGTTGAGGTTGCAGGGGTCGAGTCCAGGCTCCTCACCCCACCTCTTCACTGGTCACTACTAGGTCACTCTCCCTGAACCGTGAGCTTTATCATACCTCTGCTTAAAGCTATGTATGGATTCTGCCTCCACTACATCGCTTCCCAAACTATTCCACTTCCTGACTACTCTGTGGCTGAAGAAATACTTCCTAACATCCCTGTGATTCATCTGTGTCTTCAACTTCGAACTGTGTCTCTTTGTTGCTGTGTCCCATCTCTGGAACATCCTGTCTTTGTCCACCTTGTCAATTCCTTTCAGTATTTTGTATATCGTTATCATGTCCCCCTTATCTCTCCTGTCCTCCAGTGTCGTCAGGTTGATTTCCCTTAACCTCTCCTCATAGGACATAACTCTTAGCTCTGGGACTAGACTTGTTGCAAACCTTTGCACTTTCTCTAGTTTCTTTACATGCTTGGCTAGGTGTGGGTTCTAGACTGGTGCCGCATACTCCAATATGGGCCTAACGTACACAGTGTACAGGGTCCTGAACGATTCCTTATTAAGATGTCGGAATGCCGTTCTGAGGTTTGCTTGGCGCCCATATGCTGCAGCAGTTATTTGGTTGATGTGCGCTTCAGGAGATGTGCCTGGTATTATACTCACCCCGAGATCTTTTTCCTTGAGTGAGGCTTGTAGTCTCTGGCCCCCTATACTGTATTCCGTCTGTGGTCTTCTTTGCCCTTCCCCAATCTTCATGACTTTGCACTTGGTGGGGTTGAACTCCAGAAGCCAATTGCTAGACCAGGTCTGCAGCCTGTCCAGACCCCTTTGTAGTTCTGCCTGGTCTTCGATCGAATGAATTCTTCTCATCAACTTTGTCATCTGCAAACAGGGACACTTCGGAGTCTATTCCTAACGTCATGTCGTTCACAAATACCAGAAACAGCACTGGTCCTAGGACTGACCCCTGTGAGACCCCGCTGGTCACAGGTGCCCACTCTGACACCTCGCCACGTACCATGACTCGCTGCTGTCTTCCTGACAAGTATTCCCTGATCCATTGTAGTGCCTTCCCTGTTATCCCTGCTTGGTCCTCCAGTTTTTGCACTAATCTCTTGTGTGGAACTGTCAAACGCCTTCTTGCAGTCCAAGAAAATGCAATCCACCCACCCCTCTCACTCTTGTCTTACTGCTGTCACCATGTCGTAGAACTCCAGTAGATTTGTGACAGGATTTTCCGTCCCTGAAACCATGTTGGCTGCTGTTGATGAGATCATTGCTTTCTAGGTGTTCCACCAATCTTCTCCATGACTTTGCGTACTATACATGTCAGTGACACTGGTCTGTAGTTTAGTGCTTCATGTCTGTCTCCTTTTTTAAAGATTTGGACTACATTTGCTGTCTTCCATGTTTCAGGTAATCTCCCTGTTTCAATAGATGTATTGAATATTGTTGTTAGGGGTACACATAGCACCTCTGTTCCCTCTCTCAGGACCCATGGAGAGATGTTATCCGGCCCCATTGCCTTTGAGGTATCTAGCTCACTCAGAAGCCTCTTCACTTCTTCCTCAGTTGTGTGTACTGTGTCCAGCACTTGGTGATGTACCCCACCTCTCCGTCTTTCTGAAGCCCCCTCTGTCTCCTCTGTGAACACTTCTTTGAATCTCTTGTTGAGTTCCTCGCATACTTCATGGTCATTTCTTGTTGTCTCTCCTCCTTCCTTCCTTAGCCTGATTACCTGGTCCTTGACTGTTGTTATCCTCCTGATGTGGCTGTTACACAGCCACATCAGATTGTGTGCGCGTGTGTTAGTTACCATTTTGTCCTAGGCACATGTCGATTAGACACTAGGTCTGTAGTGTGTGTGTGTGTGTGTGTGTGTACTCGCCTAGTTGTACTCGCCTAGTTGTGGTTGCAGGAGTCGATTCACAGCTCCTGGCCCTGCCTATTCACTGGTCACTACTAGATCACTCTCCCTGCTCCACGAGTGTTCGTGTACTCACCTAATTGTGGTTGCAGGGGTCGAGACAAGTGTGTGTGTGCGTGTGTTTTTACACTTCATTAATAATAATAATAATAATAATAATATTTTATTTTGACATGATAAATGTTTATAATAAGGAATATAATAGTTGGGTGTACATGCCAAAAGCCCCTTTATATGCAGAGGATTTTGGGCAAACGTAAAACTAACTTAAGATTAATAAGGCAATAAGAGTACATATGGTCATCAGACAATTTACAATGAATACAAGAGAATCGAGTATTCTATTTGGCCATGCTATATGGCTTTAATAAGTCTTGTAGAGAGGACATACACTTTAGATTATTAACCCTAGGCAGCCACAGTGGAGTGATTAACATTTGAGGTGAATGTAGATATCGAGAGTAAGTATACATGTATATCGATTTTATTGATGAGAAAGTTTTACCTATGTTCATGATATTGAGCAAATGCATGTATAGTTTTTACATATGTGTATATGATGGGCTGGGATAGGTTATGGAGATAAGGTGTTTTTTAACCGTAGTTTTAAAAATGCTAGCTGAGTCAGTGGTTCTGGAGATTTCTGGTAGGGAGTTCCAGATTTTGGGCCCTTTAATGTACAGTGGACCCTTGGATATCAGCTGTTCCTGTTATCGGCCAACTTGGCCGTTTTTGCGGTGACCGGCCATTTCGGACGTGT